ACATTCACGTTTTGTGTGACTGATGTTCAAAGTGTGACGTGATGTTCAATGTTCATCCCGAGATTCGACAACGCGAATGATGAGGTCACCGTTGTATTTAAGAAGATTGGGTATACAGGTAGACACATATTAAAGTCTGGAAAATAATTGAGACCTACATAGTGTTACTTAGATTTATTTCCACGCTGATATTCTTCAATGCAAATTCGATTTTCCAAGTTGCCCTTTTGTGCCTTGCCATCCCCGTTTCAAATCAAAAACCTTGAAAAAAGGAAAACCAATGCGAACCAAATTTTTCCTCCCCGCAATCAACCTCGAGAGCTTTTCCTTTGCTTTTAAGCACATTAATGGGGAAAATAATGCCTTTTCAGTGTCAATTGATGATTGGATCCTTCAAATGTAGCGACGCAACAATGCAACATGATAGTATACCCGCTTTTGATGAAAGTGTAACTTATATCGATGACGCAAAAAAATTCACTTTCACGGAAAAATCAAATTCCCGGCGGTTGTTCCTCTTTTGTAGGTTTACTTCAGTAGTCTCTGTGATAGCTTCAAACTCGTTGGAACATTTGAAAATACTAAAAGGATACAAAAAACGAAAATCTCCCTGTAAATGCACAATGGCTGGGCTAATTGTGGTATTTGGCATGTGTTTACATAATATGACATTACGAATTCCTGTAAAAGTGCGTATTTATTTATCCGTAATGATTGACAGGAAAATGTTTACCCCACCTTATTTTTTCCTCCAAAGTCAAAGTTTCTTTGCCTGCTCCATTTAACCAGCAAACGGAAGCGCCCCTTTTTTCTGCGCACTACTAGATGTAAAGGATTTTTATTATGTTCTCTTGATTATGTTAAAGCAACTAGCGACCATGAGAAAATACAAACAACCGCCTTGCACAATGTCAAGATTAAATTTATGCTGACACAGTCAAGTATTCAAGAGCGAAGCAAAATAAGTAGATTTTGAACAGCTCAAGCCTCCTGAAAAATATTATGTGATCGAAAATTCCATTCGAAGTCACTCATCCATCAATGCAATAGAGAGCAGAGGGCAAATGCGATATTTTAAGTCGTAAGGTAACCCACCATTCGTACTTGCAGTATCGATGCAGTGTCAGATTTTTGTGATCAATTCTATCTTAATTTATTGCTGACTGCTATTCTTTTTTCTTCCTCCCTCGCTTTTCTATCATTTTTTTTTCTTTTTCTCTGAAGCATAAATATTGCAGGAGTGCCGACAATAATTTACCATTTCTTAATTTAGATCACGCACGAACGCGGCAATCGAACATGAACTTCGTCAAAAATTTTAGTTACACGTACATCAAGTCCATTTTTATCAACTGGATTGCATTTTGCAAAAAGGAACCACGAGCATTCCAATGTCGCAAAGATTGTGCAACTTTTTTCACCTTATAAATATTAACTTATCACCTAAATCAATTTTATCTACACTCTCAATAAACTATAAAATCAAGCCAAAAATTACCTTTGTAAATTTAATTTTTTGCATGATTTCAGTGATTTTGTAGCAAAGAATGTATTTTGCACAATCCTAACAACATTGGAACGCTCTTGGTTCCTTTTTGCAAAATGCAATCCAACTGATCTTCATGTCCTGGACGCAGGTTCTAAGAAAAATTCGGAAAGAGTCGCCGTATTTCTCGGTCCATGCGAACCGAAGAAAATAATAAAAATTGACTCACCCTTATTTTCTTGCAAAACAGTCCAAAACTTTAAAAAACTGAAAACTGGAAGTGCAATTGAATAATATTATATTACCGGCGATCACGAGTGTTTACACTGCGTCCACAATGGAATGGACTAGTGGAAATGCACGTTCCGCATGCTTTATACGTAAAACTACCGGCCGGCGGCGAACAGTGAGTTGGAATCGTCGTTTTTAGGCCAAATAATGATCCGTTGAACCGTATTAGATTGATTCTAAACTTAAGTACTATGTGACAGCGTCGAGTCTCATGGAAGATTCTTTAAGAACCCTTCGTTACATAACTGTCTCGTGAAATACATCTGTAAATACTGATAAAAATTGGCTAAAAGTGGATGATCCTTCTTGCGTCATCTCTCTCCCGACAAAACAAAAGAGAAACGCGGGAATGAGAGGGGAAAACACAGTTTAGCATGGACGTAAGATGGAGGTTTTCGGGGAACCTCCCCCTAGAATACTCGTACCCTCTTCCAAGGAATGGAGTTGTCGCATGTGTGAGGAATTTGCGATTTGACTATGGATTCTTATGTACCTAAAAGTTTGCGAGAAACACGACGGTGCCACTGGTTTTCTCTGAAATCAACTCCAAAGCTCAAAAAAAGCTCTCAAGTTGAGGCCAAAATGGAGGGAATATCCCACGCTATCCTGAGAGTCTATCTCTACATCAAGACAGAATCTCCACGCAAAGATAGGGAGCAAATACATTGACAGGGCTGCCACTTTATTTGGGGACTCTAAAACTGGAAACACGGCAACCCTACTAATGTATTTGCTCCCTATCTTTGCATGGAAATTTTGTCTTGATGTAGAGATGGACTCTCAGCTAGACTAGCGTTGGGTATTCCCTCCATTTTGGCCTCAACTTAAGAGCTTTTTTTGAGCTTGGGAGATGATTTCAGAGAAAACCGGTGGCACCGTCGTGTTTCTCGCAAACTTTTACATAAGAATCCATAGTCAAATCGCAAATTCCTCACACAAGCAACATCTACATTGTAACCATATGTTGTCGCTTTAATACCACTAGGTAAATACCCACGAATAGACTAATGACCCCTCGCTCTCCCCCTTCCCCCAAGAAACAAGTTCAGCTACTTCCATGCAGTGTAGATGAAATTTTCAAAGCGGGATAAAATTCTCTGCCCAAACTTTTTACTATTATATTTGGCTGAACGCATGTGCCCAATTTTAGTCATGGGCTAAGAAGTATTCCTTCACTGGAAAAAAAATATGGTAGATTTTACCATACTCTGACACAGTGATAAGAGTATGGTAATAAAAACCAGACGCTATGGTACCAGTTACCATATTTTTGGTACGTATCACCAGAGTTCTGGTGAATACGAACATAATTCTGATTATTTTTACCCCATGGCATCACTGTGTAAAAAATCAAGTAAACTTATAGTAGATTTTACCATCCTTTTTATCAGTGTCAGAGAAGCTGTCGGATGTTTATAACTAAGATTTTCTGCGTTTTTCCATAGCACGGCAGAATACCTACCACAGCACTTGCAATAGATCGTATATTCGATACATCAAACGGGTGAGATTGTATCGATTTCGATCGGTTCAAAATATAAACATAGCTTCAAAAGTCAATTAAGTAATCTGACTGAACGGTTTTTTTTTTTTTTTTTTTTTTTTTTTTTTTTTTTTTTTATTAATATATTGATTTGTGATTCGTATGAGTAGTAAATGTCTATTAGTAGTGAAATTGCTACAACATTTCTCGTTTTCAGCTTTACTGACAAATGGACTGAGTTAAGCAGAAAGGAACCAACCCACATTTTGGAAAAAATTGAGTTATGAGTGGTTTTGAACTCAACCACTACTCTACTATCTATCGCCAAAAATTTAAAGTTTTTACTGGAGCAAATTTTGCAGAAATTGAACGTGAAGTTTTTCTTTTACATTGAGTCTTATGCAGGAGCCAAACTGTAAACCTCTTTTTCTCGGTTCGATCCCGATGTGGCTTGGTTCCTTTCTGTTTAACTCCGTCCAAATATCCTAAAATTGTGGTTTAAAGTTATTTTCTATTATTTAGAACCAAACGACACATCGAAAGCACTATCGAATACGATCCATTTGTACTACCCCTCATGCAGCAGAGCCACTGTGCGGGATTTTCATGTTATCTGGAGTGAGAAGTGTGAGATGAATCGCGAGAATTAAGATAGACTAGCTGCCAACGTCAACTTCTGCATCGTAGGATCCCACATAGTCGTGAATAGCGCGCACCGGCGCGGCGCGGCGCGGGGCGGTCACCTCGCAGCTCGCCCCGCGTCACGAACGGGTCATCGTTTCACACGGTGAATAGCTGAACTCGGAGAAGCTTATGTAATCCTCAATAGCTCTGCATTTGAGCAAACGTAAAAAAATCATTGAAAATACTCACCTGGATCCCAACTTACCCTGAAAAAAACTCCGGCTGTGGTATCCGTACTCTTGGACTATCCAGGGTGTCCCAGGATTAAGTACGGATATTGAAGGAGTCGATTCTCTGGGTCAAAAATGGACGTTTTTGTGGTATAACTTTTTTTCCAAAAACGCTTTTCCTGAGGGCCACCCCCCCCCAAAGCTGGAGCAAAAAATCGTCTTTCTAATACTGTGACAATGTTTATCAACCAAATTTATTGAAAATATGTAAATGAAGGTAATTTTTACAGCTTTTTTCAATTTTTCCAGAAAAGGGAAAACTCATTTGGGGTGAATGGGGGTTGGGGGGTAGGGGGGTA